ACTGACTACTTAACATCTTGTCTAATGGGCATCTCAAACTTAACATGTTCAAAAGAGACAACTTTATTTTACCCCCAAACTTTTTCCTTCCATATAAGTAACTGAATTTCTGTTTTACTAGTTGTTCAAGCCCAGAATCTTAATCATTTTTGATCAATCTCTCTTTCATATTGCCTTATCCACTATTAGCTCCACCTCTGAAATATATACAAAATCTGACCACCACTCCATCACTTGGTCTCTTTTCCAAGTCATATCATCTTTTACCTGGACTACGGAAGTTGTCCCTAAGTGATCTCCCTGAGTCTTTTTTTGTCCCTCTGTATAAAAGCCACACATTCTTCTAAAATATAATTCAGATTATATCATCTCTCAATTCAAAATTATCTAGTATATTTTTATCTCCTTCAGAATAAAAGCCAAAGTCCCTGCATTATCTGGCCTACTACCTTTCTCTCCATCCCAGCCATCTTAGTCTCCTTATGTTCCTTCTAACATGTCAAGTAGATCCCTGCTTCTCTCTTGTACTTGCTATTCTCTCTGTTTGGAATAATAGTCCCCTACATCTAGCGACATGGCATCCTCCATATTTTTCTTTTCATATGGCTTTCATAACACAATCTAGTTCCTCTTTCCAAATCAACTTAATCCTCTTTGTATTCTTTAATCATATCCAAAATCTCAAGTTTCTAAATATTTCTAATCTGAATTGGGAGCTCTGGTAGCATAGTGGCTAAGGCACTTGACTGCTAACCAGAAGGCTGACGGTTCAAACCCACCAGCCACTCCTCGGAAGGAAGGTTGGGCAATCCTACTTCCATAGTGATACTGCCTCAGAAACCCAAGGAGGGGTCACTATGAGTCAGGTGTGACTCGACGGTACACAACAACAACAACAACAACATGCTTTGTATTCCATTATTTCTAATTGTCTATACAATATATTCACTTAGAATCTAGGACCTTTCTACTTGGACTTCCTGCCATCACTTCATATCAGACACGTGTGTGGTCAAATTTATCTTCTCTTTCTAGTCCTAAACTGGCACACATTCTTCATTCCATTATAGTAACTCCACTTAGATCCCCTCATAGCGAAAACATTTCATATTCTACTGTTCTTATTTTCTACCATATTCTTTTTTTTTTTCCTTCAAAATACCTCTAGGATTCACCCTTCATCTTTATTCCTATACCTCAAGCCACAATTTCAGCCTTTTTTTTTTTTTTAATCTCATTTTAAGTTTACTAGAAGAGTTTCTAACTGGTCTCCCTGTCTTCATGCTTTTCTCTAGCATGGTGGTTCTCAAACTTTAGTGTCCATAAGAATCGTCTGTAAGTGACCAATAGTATTCATTAGGTTTTTCTTGCATAGTATCTTATTTCTCCAACCAGTTTATATAATCATTCAAAGGCAGAGTTTAATCATGGTTTCTATTTTCTCCTCAATATACTGCATAATTCTAGGCATACAATATATTGGGTAGATATTTTACAAATTCAGTGTACAGTTCATTTCTGTTTTATGAAAAAATTCATAATGGGATCTAATTGACAATTACTTCAGAGACAGATACCTTAGAATAAAAATAGCAAGTTCTCACTTCTTTTCAAAAAGAAAAAAAGCACAACACATTGTCATCATGCAAACAGATCTCTCCTGATATTCACACTTCCAAATGTAGGGAGAAATACACAAAGACGACATCAATCACAGAAGGGCATTCCAACTCAAGATCCCTGATCAAGTTTTTCCAAATAAATCAGCACAGCAAGGTATCATTTACACTAAAGACCTTACTTAAAAACACTTACCAGAAATGATATAAGCTTCATGCTTTAAGAGTTTAGCGTTACAAATAAGCAATTCAGATGACAATGTGTCATCTTCTCCACTTTTTAGGGAAATAAAGTTGCTACTCTTCAGTGTTAGAACTTCTCACAGGAAAGTAACTCTAAAAGGATTACAATTTCTGTCTTAGAGTTCATGTTATGTGACTTAAGTCTTTCTGCTTAAAAAAGTTGTAATTTCTGTGATTTAAAGAAAGAATCTAAAAAATCTGTTGTACTCCTAAGAATTACGATCTGTCCTCATTATTTGTGAATTCTGTAGTTAATTTGCCTACTTGCTAACATTTATTTGTAATTCCCAAACACCAATATTTGTGTGACTTTCATGGACATCGACATGGGCACAGTGGCAAAAAAACTTAAAGTTACCCAATGCACACATTTTCACTTGAGGTCAAACATGGTTAGTTAAGTAGTCACTAATTCAGTGTTCACAGCAACTTCATAGAATATCAACCATGGCAAATAACTAAATATTTATGTGACCTCATCGCCCAAATTTTCATACAGTAACTTTAACTTGAATGGGAAGACTGAGTTACACAAATTAATTTTATAGTGAATATTTTACCACAGGAGATACAACTCTTGCTCCATGACTATAATAAAGAGAAAAGAAGTAAAGCATTTAGAATCAAAGAAAGTTATAAATTATAGCATATCAGTGCGGTGGAAAGAGCACTGGACTGAGAATTGAACCATGTCGATTCTAGTCATGGCTTTATTACTTACTAGTTAAGTGGTCTTTAGCATCTACCATTTTAATTTCTTAATCTATTAAAAAGAGGGGAATGGGTTAGCTATCTGAATGCTAAGATCTTTTCCAGTCCCCAAATAACATATACTTGTATACATTTTAATAGCATTTTTATGTCACATTCACGTTAATTAATGTAAAATTCTAAGCTCCTGGGCCATTGTCCCACATGGTATATGGTACATGGTACAGCTCTGGGTCACAGCTATTCATTGAATTGAGCTTAACAATTTCCTATGACTTAAATCACAATCAGCACATCAGATTTTAAAAAGTGAAGTGAATACTTACTATGTCTATACCCAATCATTTGGTAGGTATTTCAGTAGGAAAAACAAAACAACAAAAAAGTCATCCTCAGTCATAATAGATTGAATGTTACTTTTCAGGCTTCTTAAAGTTATCTTCCTTCTTTCTTTCTGGCACACCTATGATCAGCTGGTAATCTCTCTCACCACTGGATGTCACTTTTGCTCCAAAAGAAGTCAACCTGGCTAACTAACCTCAATAATTATAATCTGATCTCTAAGATAATTATCTCTAAAAACTGGGCATGAAAGATAAAATCAGCTCTCATAATTTCTAGTGATTTCTAGCTGAAATATGGTTTCAGATGCTTCCAGGCTTCAACAGTACAAGGAAGCCTAAATAGGATTTCTAAGATCACAGGCAATCAATACCCACAGACTGTTCATGTACTTAATACAGAAGAAAGGAAGAGAAGTGGCATGCGTGGTGGCGAAAAAATAAGTTATTTATGTTTTGGTATAAGACATTTACATTCCACTATACCCACTGCCATCAAATCAATTCTGACTCAAAAGATTCCTATATCATGAATGTTATTTTTCTAATCTCAATCCTATACTACTTCTAGCATTATGAGAAAAGTATTATTCAGAAACCAAGAAAGTGGGAAAGTAATGACAGACTACTCATGTTGTGACTCCAGCTATCAAGACACATTGGCAGTTATATCCAATAATGTAAATGAACAGCTAGAAGCTGTGTCTTTGTTTTCCAAATTCAGAATATGTGAATGATATAGAGTTACCTTCTCTTATGTAAACGTGAATAGCTTTTTTCCAAAAAACACAGAGACCATTAAGATACTAGATCATTAAGGTGTCTATGCCTGGAAGAACCACCTTCTCTGCTCAGATCTTCTCACCTCCCTGCAACCAACGCCACTATTGAGGGAATTTATCAAATGCGGACAGATCAAAATAATTTGTGGGTTTTTTTTTAATTACCATGCCCCTCCCCACACTCAATAACTGCTGACTCACTGCCACCGTAAGTAGCGGTTACTGATGGGACTGTGCCACATTTCATGGGTGTGCTGAAGAAGGAAAAAAAGTTGTGAACCAGTAACTTACATGAATCATCTGGCTACATTATTTCCATGATGCTCTAGATCGTTTCCAAAAACAAAATAAAACCATTTTTAGGTTCTGGGGAAAGGTTGTGTGCAAAAGTGAAACTTAAAAAAGATCACTGCTGTGTGAACTATCGTCAACTATCATAGCTGTTTCAGAAGTCAGGCAGAGTCCCAGTTCCTCCTGCTGGGACAAGGAGATACTCTCTCCTACACTCCTGAGTTACAAACACCAAAGCACTTTAACCATAACAGAGATGTTACAGGTATCAGGCATAGTTGAAACAGGATTCATCACCTAGTAATAATCACCTAATACTTTAGGTGTAGAAAGAGTTAACATAACTTCCATGGTCTTTTGTTGTTGTTGTTGTTATGTGCTGTGGAGTCAAACCCGACTCATAGCGACCCCTCCTTGGGTTTCCGAGGCAGTATCACTACAGAAGTAGGATTGCCCAACCTTCCTTCCAAGGAGTGACTGGTGGGTTTGAACCGCCAGCCGTCTGGTTAGCAGGCAAGTGTCTTAGCCACTATGCTACCAGAGCTCCATGGTCTTTATCACTCTGAAAAACATCATCTTTGTGGAAAAACGCATGTCAGCTCCGAACAAGTGACTTATTAATGAAATTGAGAAATAAACCTGCTAAGCAGTTTAGATTTCCCCAATTTATCTTTACAAGGTTAACAGTGAAATATCGTATTTAAATATAAAATTAAACAATACCACTGGAATCTCAGTTTTAATTACACATTTTATTCTCCTAAACAGTCAATTAGGAGCTCTGGTGGCATAGTGTCTAAGGCATTTGACTGCTAATCAGAAGGCTGGCTGTTGAAACCCATTAGTCACTCCTCGGAAGGAAGGCTGGGCAATCTACTTCCATAGTGATACTGCCTCGGAAACTCAAGGAGGGGTCACTATGAGTTGGATCCAAGTCCACAGCAGTGTGTTGTTGTTGTAAACACTCAATCACATTTCAGTCGATAGAAATCACTTTAAAAACAACCACTTGCCTTTTTCTGGGCAATTGCAGCTCGCTGCAGTTTCTCTTTAGCTTGATTATACTTTTCTTCTCTGTCTGTGATACGCTCATGAAGTTTATGCTTTTCTTCTAACCACCGAACTTGTTTCTCTTCCAATGTCCTGTCAGGAGAATGTATGCAAGCATGGAAGTCAACACAAACTCTTAGGATTGAACAGATGTCATAACAAGTATAAGCAAATGGTCACTATCTGCCTGACCACATTTGTAATTCTCCAACTGCAGGCACTCTTGCATGGTCACTTACTTGCTGCTACTACCACCATTAGCACTGAGTGCTTCTTATGAGCCAGCACTGAGCTTAGTTAGAACAGTATACATGCTGTATCATTTATTCTTTACAATATCTTTTTCAGTTAGGTACTTCTATTATCTCCCTTTTATATATGAGGAAACTAAGGCACGGCGCAATTAACTAACTTGCTTAAAGACTCACATCTAATTAATAGCAGGGCAAACACTTAATAACCATGTCTGAAATCGGATAACCACCAAGCTACAAAAATTGGGCCTATTAAAGCTGGTTAAAAATCAACCCTGGTATCAAGTTTTAATATGGTATATTTTGTAGCTAGAGTAAAATTCATATAAATGGTATGTCAAGGTAATATCAGTAATTGATATTGTTTCTGCATACTTATCATTTTAAAAATCCCTGTTATAGATAGTAAAAGTCAGAACAACAAACTCTGAGAAGTCAGATTACTTGCCTAAGATCTATAGATTTTAACTGTCTTAGTTGGGACTAAAATTGCTTTCTATTGATCCCGAATATAGTTCTTCTCTACTGCACAATCCTATGACTAACATTCAGAAACCAGTAATTATATTCTAGTTGCTAGATACATGAGAATTCTTAAGCATATTTCAATCACGCAATTGAGGATTCCAAGATAAAAATTTTTATTTTTTGCAAAATAAGTTGAACCCTGTAGAGTGTCACAGCATATTATGGACAAATACCTTGTTTACTTCCTTTTCTTAAAATTTAATACCATGTATGAAACTATGCACAAATTTTATGTGTCATGGTGGCCTTCAGAAAAACACATTTGAGAAGAGTAGTATTTATAAAGACAACACAAATTCAAACCACAGTTTTCTACCACGTGCCAATTTTTACAGATCTTCAATATCACCGAAATCATCTTCTCCCTTCCAAGAGATACGATATTGTCTACTAATAACAAATTTCAAGTTATATTTTTAAAAATCTAAACAAATGAGGCTTTTTAAAGGGAAAAATCCAAGAGACTATAGTTATAATTCTAAATTTTGCCCACGCCTCCCCCCCAAAACATCGTTCTCTGGCACATCTAATAGGTTAGATACTTGAAGAAATGTGTTGGTTTACTCAAGGAATGAAGAAGTTTTTCTGTGAGGGTTTTCAAAATAGTATGGTTAGACAGAATTGTAGAAGTCCTTCTTCCCTAGATATCTTACTTTAAAAAATAAATAAATCAGGAGTTTATAAAACTCATTCTGCTGAAGTACAAAGTACATTATCTAAATTACTGTACATTGTCAAAGGATATTTGCAACCAGTCCCAGGACACTTTTAACATTTATTGGAATCATCACTAAAAGAACTATACATAAGGTCGCATGAAGAGGAAATCGTTTGTACGTAGAAAAGAGCACACTCTACTTTTCAACTTCTAGTTGCACTTTTTCAGCTTGGCTTCTTAAATTTCGGCATTCCTGCTTTAACCTCTCCACCGTTTCCTTCAGCATTTGATTTGAATTCAGCAAATCATTCTCTGACTGTGTAAGTGAGGTCACTTGGATCTGCAAACTACTGATTTGCTTTAAAAAAAAAAGAAAGAAACACAAGGCCCATAAACAAATGCAATAAGGTATCAGAGGGGCATTTAGTATCTTCCCTCACAAATGCCCCACCCAACTGGTATGTGCTTGAGAACAAACTTAAGTGAAATTATAAACAGCAGTAGCTAGGATTATCTCTTAATACAACTTGGTTATATCAAGAACCACAGCCCTCAATCTGTTGCTGATTCTTTTCTCTTCTTCCCCAAATTAACAAGTCAGAAGGTGGTGGTACTGGTAGTGGGGAGAAGAGTCAGTAAGAGGAGAACAGGGAGGGGAGAAAAGAGAATCCAACTATCTGAGTGAGTCTCCTGACTACCCCTAGCCTCCCAGGAATGCGCAGGCTTTAACAGCAGGTCAGCTGGGAGGGAAAGCTGCTATAGAAACCCGTTCTCTGGGAGAACAATGTGGAACAAAACTGAAAATCATTTAAAATAAAATAAGGACCAGGTTTGCTGGTCTGATAGAGCCTGGTGGAACCACTGAGACTATGGCTCCTAACTGCCTTTCAAGTGTGGAACTGTGGCTTCCAGCCAAACAAAAGACAGGCAGATGAGCTGAACATTTACACTAGGTAGATATAATCCTTGGAGAGAACAACCATGGGAGAACAGAAGGGCTGTGTATTCACAGGGAGACAGCTCAGGGGGCAGGAGTGCATGGGAGGGAAGGACACAGGGAAGAAGTAACTATGGGGAAGAAGTGGGAGGGGAGCTTCTGCACTGTGGGAAACTGCAGTCAATGCCATGAGACAAAATGTGTGTGAGCTTGCTCTGTAAACTTTCACCCAAATCACAATAAAAGTGTATTTGCTCTGTAAACTTTCACCCAAATGACAATAAAAATTTTAAAAAAAGAGTAAGAAACCTGTTCTTCTGTACCCACAGTACCCTGTAATCAGCAACCCCTCCACGAGTTCTGCTTTCTGAGCAGTCAGGGATAGTTGTGAGTATAGCAGTGATCACTGACACACAGTATTTAAGAAGCTGCCAAACATTCTACATGTCCAGTGTTGGGCCGAAGATGCTTTGAGAAATCTGTTGAATGTCAAGGATTCCCTGGTCTTTGGTGTCATTTATCAAACCATGTAATGTCACTTAGGCTTTTTTCCCCATCCCAATTTAACTTTCTTTGAGAGTGCTTTTTCAGAACTAGTAGCTAATTTTCTAGTTACAGAACAATAAGATAGAAAGATTCACACTGCTTTCAAGTAATATACAAACAAATGATCTTCATTTGGTAGACTTTCATCTATTTCCCCCATAAGCCATTCTACCAATTAGTAAGAAATAAAAGTCCTCATTTTTTCACTGACTTCCTTAACTACTTTCTGAGAGAAGTTTGGGACCAAAGAGCAACAAAGGCTTAGGTAATCAAAAGAATCCATTATGAGACTCAAGGGTAAGAAGAAACCAGATTCTTTATTCAATAAATAAGTGGGAAATAATTCCATTACTTCTGGACAGTAGTAGCAAAGTCAAATAAGGCAGGATTATATACGTTCAAAGAGCAATTGTCAGTAGATTAAGGTTAATCTGTGTGTCTCAGATTTCTAATTCAGAATGAGTTTCTCCATGTAGAACTATTTATTCTTTACTTTTAATAGGAGTTGTAAATATTAAATCTGTATTACAACTGACTGAACAAGCAACCTTCAAAGACCTTAATACTTCTCCATATACAAAGAATGACAGAAAGCCCAATGCAAATGTTACTAAATAATTTCTCTCAGGTATCAAACATTGCACTATCCTAGGTTAAGATTTAGAAACCATAACTGCTTATATGAAGCAGTGCCAGCTAGCATGTAAGCATAAACTCTAAAAATGGCATCCTCATTACTTCAAAATTTAAAGGCAAACAAGTAACAAAAAAGACAATAAAATTCAGAAAATACTTGTCTATGTTTTGTCTAACCTTATAAAAATCTTTCCTAAACCCAAATAACTTTAACGAAAACAACTTCCTTCCAAAAATACAATTCTTTGATTTCATGGAGATATATTAAGAAATATCTCATGGATAAGAAATGTAAAGTCACAGGTCAATCACACAAGTAACTTAAAACCTGAATGCCATTATCAAACTATTTTTTAAACTCAGACTATCAAAATACTATCCTTTAAACTCTTTATAGGCTGCAGCATATAAGTATCTTTAAAAAAACAACACTTGGCCAAAGAAGCTTACTAAACTAATGCTTAAAGAGATTTAAACATTTTATCTTAACACATAAACCTTATCAACAAATTATCAATTGTGATTGCAAAATTATATGCAAAATTCAAATAAAGATGTAAAACAAAGATCTTTAAACAAGAACTTTTAAAAGTAAAAGCTAAATAGCTGCTGAAAGCATACCTGTTTTAGGTCAGAATTTTCATTTTTTTCTTTCTCTGCCTTTTCAATATTCACAAATTGCTGTTGAAGTTTTAACCTAAAAAGGATAACACAAAAAAGACATTATTATGAATCTATAGTTCATTTAATTCACTGAATCAGGCAACTATCTTACTGTGTGCTTCCCTGACACCAGGCACCGTACTATGCAAAGTGGCAAATACAGTAAGATTCAGACTTCAAGCAGCTAAGTTGTATTCACATATATCTGTAATAAAACATAAACTATTGCTTTTGCTGTAAGAAAATTTACAAACTATGAGCATCTAGAGGATGAGAAATCAAGCCTGTCTAAAGGGACAAGAGACTATTATATGAAGATAAAAATCTGATGGGTAGGATTTTCATAAACATAGGGGACAACCTGAACTCAGTGAAAAAGTGCAGAGTGGATTGCTGAGGTTTCAGAAAGCAGTCCAGGTCAGAAGTCATTTTATATCCATACAATATTTCAAAACTTATAAAATGCTTTCACAAACACCGGGACTTCACTTTCATTCTACTAGGCTATGAGCTTCTTAATGATAGGGATCATGCTCAACTTCGTGTCCTCAGCCTACCCTGATGCCTACAGTTTAACAGCCATTTAATTAGGATTAACCACTTGAATTGTATTAATTCCTTGTAATAATACTGTGAAAATAAGCAGAGCAATCTTCATTATTCTGAGTTTACAGGTGATCATCACATAGCCACCAAGCAGCCAAATCAAGACAAGACCCAGGTCTTCTAACACTCAAGTAAGTGTATCCCTGCACCACCTCATTATGCTATAAGTTTACTGATTTTAAATACAGGATTTCTTTTTTTTTTAAATTGTGATATGGGTGAAAGTTACAGAGCAAATTCATTTTCCATACAACAGTTCATATACATTTTCTTTCATGTCATTGACTACAATCTCCATAATGTAAAAGCTCTCTTCCCATTTCCTCCCTCTGGCTACCTCTTCCCTGTGTCCTTCTTTCCTATGCATTCCTGCCTTTTGAGCTATCTCCCTGTGCCAATACTGCCCTTCTGGTTTCCCATGGTTGATTGTTCCAAGGAGTGCACCTACTTGGTGTAAATGTTCACCTTGTTTGCTTACCTATTGTTTGGCTAGAAGCCATGGCAGTGAGTTCAATTCCAGGCCTGGAGGGTCCCTAGGGGCTATAGTCTTGGGGGTTTCACCGTGTCTATCAGACCAGTAATTAAATTCAGGATTTTAAAGTATCTAGTACAGGACACCATACATTCTTTAATGTAATTTATAAGCTTTTCATCCTGAAGACGAATGAACACTTACACAATTGTGACCTCTTGAAAGGGAATAATACATCATCAGCCGAAGCCTGAAAAAGCAAAGCATCTCTGCAGACCAAATGACTAAGCTCATGAGAAAGAGTTCATACTAATTAGGTTTGGCAGGAATGGCTCCTCAAACTCCCCCTTTCTGAAATCCCTCCAACACTTATCTCAAATATAATTAATTTGGCACTTATTATTTATCTTTTGGTATTATTAATATGTCTTATCTGCCCAATTAGGAGCTCTGGTAGTACAATGGTTAAAGCAAAAGGTCAGTGGTTTTAACCCACTAGCTGCTCCATGGGAGAAAAGTGAGGCAGTTTGCTTCCATAAAGATTTACAGCCTTGGAAACTCTAGGGGACAGTTCTACTCTGTCCTGTAGGGTTGCTATGAGTCTATGGCATGGATTTTTTAAATTTATCTGCCCAATTAGAATGTGTGTTTATTGAGATCATGACACTCCTAGGGCATAGGCCTGTGCTTTCAACACAATAAAAATTTAATAAATATTTGTTGATGGACTGAATGAACCAAGCCAAATCCTAGATTTAGACATTTAAATATGTAAGATAACTGGACAATATGATATGAAAGAAAACAGAAGATGAGATCACATTGCTTCCTGACATATCTGTATTTACATACCAGAAACAATGGCTCTAAAAGAAGAGGGCCAGACATGTTCTGCCTCTTGTTCCATTGTCAGTACCAGTCATCACACTTTTATTTCATAATTCTAGCTATATTAACACTCTCTCAAACTTCTGTGCATTTCTTCCACTAAATGATTATCGATATTATTTACCTTGGTGCTTTTAGATTACTGAGTTAATAAAGGTTTCTTTCTACAAAATCACAAAGATGAAGATAGAGAACATTGTGGGTTCTACCTCAGATCAAGAGTTAAAAAAGCTAGGGCCCCAGTACCGTATTTTTACATGAATAATATGCCCACGGTATGTTTTCTGTACTACACAACCCCCCATATGTTATTTCATAAGCACACTATGCCATTATTTTTTAACATGTTTCTAACTTCAATTTCAAGGTATTTTTTTTTCCTTTCATATGCATTTAATGTTAAATTTTTGTCTTGGTGCCTGTTGGCACAGAGGTTTGGTTCCCCACAGCAGCCCCTTACCAGCCTTCCAAGAAGTTTTAAAACAGCTCCTCTCCTGGCAGGATTCCTTCTACACTTTCTTCAATGCAGGAAGAAATAATTTATTCTATACCAGAAATAGTCCATGATATAGTGGCCAGCCCCAGCCAAGGATGCACACGGATCTGCGGTAAGCCAGGTCACAGAGGCCACTCAGGCAAGCAAGGCTAGTGTCCCACAGCTGCACACATTCCACCCTGCCACCTGCCTGGCCAGTTGCTGCATGTGAGTCATATGAATCTCCCACCTGTATAGACACAGCAGGGCAGGGTTGAAAGCCATGGGTGTAGAGGGGTCACAACTGGCAGCCCAAGGGCTCCTTCAGTATGGATCTCTCAATACTCCTCGTGAAAGACTTTGCAGTGTGCAAGGGCTCACTGCATGTGAATGAGCTGAACTCATCTATTAAAATAAAAAAGATCTCCAATTTGTCTCACAAATATCCAACTATAAGTTGTATACAAGAGACACATTTTAAAAACAAAAAGATTTAGAAAAGCTAAAAATAAGGGGTTAAACAAGGCATATCAGGCACACAGAAAAAATAAGGGTACTAATGATACCAGACAATGTAGAATTTAAGCCAAAAAAATTCATGTATCCAAAAAAAAAAAAACGTATTTTCCAATGCTAAAAGCCACAGCTCACAATTAAGCTACCTAAGGTTCCTGGGCAATGCAATCAGTTTGTGTTAGATTACTAACCTAAAAGGTGGTGGTTCAAAACTACCCAGTGATGCTTTGGAACAAAGGCCTAGATAATTTGCTTCTGTATAGATTACAGCCAAGAAAATGCAATGGAATAGTTCTACACACATTGGGTCACCATGAATTTAAAACTGACTCATGAATTTGAATGCGTTTCCTTTGGATTTAGTTATGAATATCTATACACTAACAACAATCATTTTTAAAAAGTAAAAACAACAGTAATGCAAGGAGTCAGAGATTGAAACACAATGGAGAACAGCTAAAGCAAAAGGAAGAACTGTTGAAATATAAGACCTGAACAGAAGATCCCAAAGGGTAGCTTGAGAAGATAAAGTAAAGTAATATAATGAAATGTGCAAAGACCTAGAGTTAGAAAACCGAAAGGAAAGAACATGCTTGGCATTTCTCAAGTCAAAAGAACAGAGAAAAAATTCAAACCTCAAATTCCAATACTGGATTCTATGAGAAAAATACTGAATTATGCAGGAAGCATCAAAAGAACATGGAAGGAATACACAAAATCACCATACCAAAACGAACTGGTCAATGTTCAACTATTTCAGGAGGTAGCACATGATCAAGAACCAAGGGTACTGAAGGAAGAAGTCCAGGCTACACTGAAGAAACTGGCAAAAAACAATGCCTCACGAACTGACAGAACACCCATTGAGATGTTTCAACAAAGAGATGCAGCTCATGAGGCACTTACTTACTTGTCTATGTGAGGAAATTTGAAAGACAGATACCAATTGGAAAAGAACCATATTTGTGCCCATTCCAAAGAAAGGGGATCCAACAGAATGTGGAGATTATTGAATATCATTAATATCACATGTAAGTAAAATTCTGTTGAAGATAATTCAAAAAAGGCTGCAGCAGTATGTTGACAGGGAACTTCAAGAAATGCAAGCGGGATTCAGAAAAGGACGTGGAATAAGGGATATCATTGCTGATGTCCAATACATGGTTTAAAACCAGGAAGGAAGTACATCAGGGTTGTATCCTTTCACCATACTTATTCAATATGTATGCTGAGCAAATAATCCAAGAAACTGGACTATATGAAGAAGGACGTGGCATCAGAATTGGAGGAAGACTCATTAACAACCTCCAATATGCAGACGACACAACCTTGCTTGCTGAAAGTGAAGACTTGAAGCATTAATTGATGAAGATTAAAGACTACAATCTGCAGTATGGATTTCACCTCAACATAAAGTAAATGGAATCCTCACAACTGGACCAATAAGCAGCATCACAAGAAATGGAGAAAAGATTAAAGCAGTCAAAGATTTCATATCACTTGATTCCACATCAACAACAATGGATGCAGCAGTCGAGAAATCAGACGACATATTGCACTGAGGAAGTATGCTACAAAAGATCTGTTTAAAGTGCTGAAGAGCAAAGATGTCTCTTTGAAGCCTAAGGTCCACCTGACCTAAGATATGGTACTTTCAATCACCTCACACACATGTGAAAGCTGGACAGTGAATATGGAAGACCGAAGAAGAGTTAAGGCTTTTGAGTTGAGGTGTTGGGGAAGAATACTGAAAGTACCATGGACTGCCACAAGAACTAAAAGATCTGTCCTGGAAGACGTACAGCCAGAATGCTCCTTGGAAGCGAGAATGGCCAGACTTCATCTTACCTACTTTGGTCATGTTGTCAGAAGGGACCATGCCCTAGAGAAGGACATCATGTTTGGTAAAGTGGAGGGTCAGTGAAAAATGGGAAGGCCCTCAATGAGATGGAATGACACAGTGGCTGCAATGATGGACTCAGGAATAGCTAGAATTGTGAGCCTGGTGCAGGACTGGGCAGTGTTTCATTCCGTTAGACAAGGGTTATTATGAGTTGGAGCCTACTTGATGGCACCT